CCCCCCCCCCCCCCCCCCCCCCCCCTCCCCCATCCCATTCCCTCCTCTCTGTCTCTTCCATGGAAGAAGAGCACATTCAGCTTTCACGCGTCTTTTCGGCGTCGCCTTCGAATCGAGAATGGGGAGTGTGTGGGGAGTGTGTCTACACAAGAGCGTGTGTCCTACGATGGCACTATGGAGTCTACGAGAGGGGGAGAGGGAACAACGAGACAGCGTCGCTAACACACAACCACTCTGCAGGGCCTTCGCGGTGTCGCCTCTTCCCTCGTCGTCGTCAAGCACATCGTGGCCGCCTGGTTCACCCCGCTGCTATGGCCTTCCAACTCGGAGGATGACGCCCCCGTCCTCCTCCAGCTCCCCTACTTCCGCGTCTTCGTCCAGGGCCGCATCGGCGTCGCCATCTTCTGTCTCGTCACCGGCTACGTCTGCTCGCTCAAGCCCGTCAAGCTCTTCCTCCAGGGCAACCAGAACCAGGCCTACAACTCGATGGCCAAGTCGGCCATCCGCCGCGTGCCTCGCCTCTTCCTCCCCGTCGCCATCATAATCTTCATCAGCGGTATCGCCACCCAGCTCGGTGCCTTCGAGACGGCCAACCACTCGGACGGCTACGGTCTGCAGGTCACCAGCCCCGACCGCCGCGACAACCTCTTTGCCGCCCTCTACAACATGGCCCACGACCTCCTGTCCGTCTGGACGCACGGCCGCAGCGAGTACGGCTCCGAGCTCTGGACCATGATGCCCATCCTGAAGGGTGCCTTCTGGGCCTACGTCTTCCTGCTCACCACCTCCCACGTCCAGCAGCGCTGGCGCATGGTCATTGCCCTGACCCTCACACTATACCGCTGGGCTTCCAACGACCCCTTCTTCGGCATGCAATTCTTCTTTGGCGCCTTCATGGCCGACCTGCAGAACCTCGACCCCGACTCCTTCAAGCGTGCCCAGGCCATGTCGGCCTCCGGCGGCATCATCCGCACCGTCATGTCCGTCTTCTTCCTCCTCGTCGGCCTCTTCATCGCCTCGCTCCCCGACGACCACTCTGACTGGCAGCCTTGGTCCCGCTTCCTCCACGAGTTCCTGGCCGCCATCCTCCCGGAGAACCCCGACTTCCCCCGCTTCGCCTCGGGCATCGGACTGGACGTCATCGTCATCGGCCTCCACCTCTCCCCCACCGCCCGCTCCATCCTGTCCAACCGCTTCTTCCTCTGGCTCGGCCGCATGTCCTTTGCCGTCTACCTACTCCACAACCAGATCCTCCGCTCCGTCCTCTGCTGGATGGTCTACGGCTTCGACCTCCCCGCCGAGGGTGAGCCCCCTCTGACCCTGGGCAGCCCCGTCAAGCTCTTCATCGTCCTCCCCCTCTACGTCGCCATGACGTACGGCTCCGCCCACCTGTGGACCACGTACGTCGACAGCTTCTGCGCCCGCATATCGGAGCGCATCGTCTCCTTTATCAAGGAGGACCCTGATGAGAAGTCGGCTGGTCCCGCTCTGCTGCCTCAACATGGCAGCTCTTAGAGTCTCTCTCTCCTGTCCTTTTGTGTCATTTTAATCTTCTTTTCTCTCTCTTCTCTATCGCGCAGAGAGGGGGGGGGGAAGAATTGTCACGGCCTTTCCCTTTTCCCTTGTTCATCATTTTTTTTCCCTTCTCGCCTTGACGGAATTTTCCTATCTCTGTTACAACAAAGCCACTGCGGCAACTATTTCCTTTTTCCTCTCTTCTCCTTCCCCTTCCTCCATTTTTTCAACCCCAAATATATGCGCCGAGGCTTATTAGGTACAAAAATCGCACATCACACATGAGACCCGAGGGTTAGATGCTTTTTTCCGGCATGGCGTTTGCATTTGTTTTTCACCGCCCTTGTTCCAATGTTTTTGGCTTTCAATCTTCCTGTCATTGCCATGTGTCAATATTGTCGCAACTTCAGACATGCTGTTTGTAATTTAGGCCTGACAGAGATACCCTGCATATTTTCTTTTTCATTAAAAAAAGAATAAAAAACTTCAAAAACAAGAGGCTGGAGTGTTCCATTTGCCCCGGTTGGATGAGTATACGAGCATCGGATTCCTTGCGATTCAACGTTGCGTCACCCATTGCCGATGTCTGATAGTTGTCGTTTCCGGAGCTTACGTGTATATACGGTATTAGTGCATGCGTACTCCGTAGCAGCCGATGGTGTTAGTTATACGAGTTACGCGGGGGGGCTGCACTGACACTGATCGTGTGATCAAATATCTTAGTCATGAAATGAACGACGTTCAAATAGCAAAGCTACCTCACCGCCTTCCGAAAGGAAGTACCCACATACAACATACAGATCCGGTTACTGACCAATAACACGTGTTTTTGTTGAGGGGCCACGGGCGGCAGAAAGTTCCCCCCCCCCCCCCCCMAAAAAAAAAAAAAAMTGGCTACTATGAGAAAAAAAAGGTGGAACAGAAAAAATAGAGGTGATGGTAACTTGAGTAAACCAAGGCTATTATCATTCGACACCGAAAAACAACACCTTCAAGATGCGGTATGTTTGCTAGATTCCTAACATTTTTTTCTATCATTGTTTTTTCTTGAGGGACTATGATCTGACTTTTTGCTTCTCTCTCATTCGTGACAGTGTCGATCCGTGTTTCTTCTGCGGACGTCCGTCCTATCCCAGCAAGGGCATAACATTTAACCGCAATGATGGTACGTTGACCGACATTCGAGCAGGAAGGAAGAAGTAGAAGAACGAAGCAGGATGATCAGGAGAACAACAAGAAGAAGAAGAAGGAAGAAGAAGGAGGAGGAGGAGGATGAGGAAGAAGAAGAAGAAGAAGAAGAAGAAGGAAGAAAAAAGATACTAATCAATACCGCCAACAGGTCGCTCCTTTCGTTTCTGCCGAAGCAAATGCCACAAGAACTTCAAGATGAAGCGCAACCCCCGCAAGCTCAAGTGGACCAAGGCCTTCCGCAAGGCGGCGGGCAAGGAGATGACGGTGGACAGCACGCTGGCGTTCGGGGCGCGTCGCAACGTCCCCGTCCGCTACGACCGGGACCTCGTGGCCAAGACGCTGCGGGCCATGGAGCGCGTGGCCGAGGTGCGCGCCCGCCGCGAGCGCGTCTTCTACCGCCGCCGCATGGCCGGCAAGAGGGAGCGCGAGATCGCCGCCGCCCGGCGCCTCGTCAACGACAACGAGCACCTCCTCCCTCGCCTGCGCGGCAGCGAGAAGAAGAGGCTCCAGGAGATGGGCGCCACCGCCGAAGACGTCGAGGCCGAGGAGCTCAGACTCCTGGACGGCAAGAAGATCATCAGCCGTCCTGTCGGCGGGGAGAAGAGGAGGCTCCGCGTCAACGTCGACGGTGGAGTCGACGAGGTGCCCCCTCGCCAGGCTCGGCCTTCTGCCTTTGTTGATGAGAATGATGATGAGATGGATGTCGAGTAGAGACTGTTCCTTCTTTTTCCTTTTCCTTCTTCTTCTTCTTCTTCTTTTCCCTTTTTTTCTTTTTTTCTTTTCCCCTTTCTTCTTCTTCCTTTCTTCTTTCTTTTTCTCCCCCCCCTCCCTCTGCTTCTTCTGTCTCGGATCCTTCTTCTCTCTCCCCTTTCACCTGATGAGTAGAGAAAGCGAGAATAAAAGAAAGAGAGGAAAAAAGAAGAAAAGAGAAGAAAAAAAAGTTCCTGCTGGGTTGGTTGATTATTAGGAGCATCTGGCGTTGAATGAATTTTCTATAATAAAAAAAAATAACCCCCCCCAAAATGACAAATGTCAAATATTGAAACCAAAAACACATATTTTTGTCTACATACTGGACTATTTAGCATCATTACTCTGTAATTTGACACTTGACGTTCAAGACACCTGCCTCATCATTTGCCTGGTACTTGAACACCTGTCTGTCATATTTGCCCTGCACTTTGAACAATGTATAAATGATATACTAGAAAAAAAAGGACTTTTCTGATTTTTTTTTTAAAAAAAAATTATATAAAAAAACGCCAGAAATCACTCCTCTTCCATGTCGGCAGCAGCGGCAGCAGCAGCAGCCTCGACGTCCTTTCTCAACTTGTGCCCGACTACCCATTCCTGCGCCTTGGCCATAATCTTCTCCTTACCCTTGGCGTCCCTCTTACCTTCCCAGGCTGCCCAGCGTCTGAACCAGCTCTCGGCCTGCTTGGGCTTCAGACCCTTGACGCGGGTCCTCCGCTCGAACACGTCACGCACGGGCGTCAGGTCGCCGCCGCCCCTCTGGTCATCTTCAGCGATGCCCATCTCTAGGTCTAGCAGCTGGCTCCACAGGTCGCCCTTCTTGGGCCACGTCGCCAGCATGCCCTCGAACATGGTCCGGCCGCGCTCCGGCTCGCCGTTGGGGGAGCGGAACTCCAGCGCCGCGAAGCGGCTGATCAGGTTGACATTGTCGGCGCCGTGCTGCTGCTGCGAACGCCCGAGGAGGCTGCGGGCGCGCTTCACGTCGTTCATCGTCACGTGTAGGAAGTGTGCGTAGTTGATCCACACGTTTGGTGACTTGTAGCCGAATTTCTTGACCATGTTTTCGAATAGAGCGTCGGCCTCCTGTTTATGTGTCTTTGTGTCAATTGATTATCCTTTTTTTTTTCCTTTTCGCGAGCGCGCGTATGTGTGTGCGTGTGTGCGTGTGCGTGTGTGTGCGTGAGTGAGGGAGAGGAAATAGAAAGAAAGGGCAAGGGATGGTGAGAAAAGAGAAAAAGAAAAGGAAAAAAAAAAGGGGCGCGTACCTTCAACTTTCCAGATTGGATATACGTGCTGGCCAACCTCTCATACACTTCCTGCTCGTCATTGACCTGGCAGGCCCGACGGAAGACGTCCTCGACAGTTTTCTTGTTGCCGTACTGCACCTCGAGGTTGAGGTACGCCCCCCACATGTTGAGCTTGCTGGCCTCCTCCTTCATGTTGATGCTCTGCACCGCCTTCTCCGCCACCTCACGCGCCTTGCTCAGGTCGCCGACCTGCATCTGGAAGATCATAAACTCGATCCACAGCTCCGACGAGTCGGGGTGGTCCAGCAGGAGTCGCTCGTAGTCGCTCGCCGCCTGGGGGCCCTTGGCGTCCAGGTCGGCTGTGCGGTCTACCTCGGCAGAGGACTTCTTGCTGCCGCCCTTCTTCTTCTTGGAGGAAGACTTCTTGTCGTCGTCGTCGTCGCCGTCATCGTCGTCCGAGCCAGACGATGCCTCCTCCTCTTCGGCAAAGGGATCGGCTAACCAGGCTGACTTCTTGCCGGCTCCCAGACCGTTGGGCGTGGACGGCTCGTCATCATCATCATCACCTTCATCATCACCTTCATCATCGTCCTCATCCTCGTCATCATCCGTATCCATTTGGTTGTCGGTACCGAGAATCTGCAGGGCAGCACCGCCGTCGGCCATCTCGGCATCGCTGTCTTCATCGTCCGAGCCATCTTCCAGGAGAGCGCCGTCATTGTCCGAGTCCATGTCTTCGTCCTCGTCGTCGAAGAAGGAAGGTTTGAGACCAAAGCTGATCCTCTTCTTCTTAGCATCGATGCTCAGGATTATGGCCTTGACCACGTCGCCCTCCTTGTAGAGCTTGGTGGCGTCCTCGACGGGCTTCTCGGCCATCTGGCTGCGGTGGCACAGACCGCTGATGTTGGCAGAGTTGTCCACCAGGATGAAGGCGCCAAAGTCCTCCACCTTGCGCACCCTTCCCGTGACCACCTGGCCCTCCTTGAGCTCCGCGAGCGTCACCGGAGGCGTGTAGTCCTCGTCCAAGGCTGACGACTTGAGGCTGAGCTCCAGCTGGCGCGTCGCCGCTTCCACCGATAGCACGCGACCCTTGACTAGCTGGTCGACCTGAAACTCGTCTTTCCAGTTCTTGAGGAACCGGTCCGACAGGTTGGCAATCTTGACGAGGCCCGTCACCTGTCCACCCAGCAGGACGAACAGGCCCTTATCCGACACGTTCTTGACGAAGCCGCGGACAATGTCGCCCGAGTGCACCTGCGAGAAGTCGGTGATCTCCCGATCGGTCACGGTCGAGGCTGAGCTCAGGATGCGCGAGGGGCGCATCGACAGCCGCAGCCTCTTGTTGCTGCTGTCAACCTCAACCACCGAGACACGCACAATATCGTTCTTCCTGTATTTGAGCGTGTTGACGTCGTCGTACCTGTCTGCCATGTCGGGCAGGTGCACGGGACCAGAGACGGTGTCGCTGAGGTTGACGAGCACCTGACGGTCGTTGACCTTGGTGACACGTCCGGGAAGCGTCATGTTGGGCCTTAGCGAGTCCCAGGTGATGGCAGCGGCAGCGTTGGCCGACCGTGCCGACAGGTCGAGGCGGCTGTTGTCGGCATCGACCGCCGTGACGCGGACCTTGAGCGCGCAGCCCGGGGGGAAGTTGCCGGGCAGGTCGCTCAGCAGCGACAAGTCGTTGGACGCGTCCATGGCGGAGATGCGGCCGCGTACCTTTGGCGACAGGTTGGCCCACAGAAATGCCGGCGTCACATTGTTGACAAAGGCAATGTGCTGGTCGCCAACCTTGATCTGCTCCAGCGAGAGGGGCTCCGACGCGCCGCTAGCCTTGAGGAGGCTGTCCTTGACGGTGAACTCTAGGGTCGAGTGCGTCGAGCGGTGCGAGATGGGGAGGAAGCGGTGGTCCTTGGCGTCGTGCACGCCCAGAACCTTGGCTCTGAGTACCTGGCCCCGGTGGAACTTGGTCAGGGGCTCCTTGGCGTTGTCGATCTCGTCCCAGCTGTCAAAGACCTGCGAGATGTCGATACGGCCCTGGACCTCGCTGTTGAGGACCTGAACGTTCATCTGCGTCTCCTTGATGGACGATACCTTGACTTTGGTGATGCTGCCTTCCGTCAGGTTGTCGTCGGGGGCAGGGGCAGCCTTGTGGCTGGCCTTCTTAGAAGTAGGCTCTTCGTCGTCAGTCGCAGAGGGCAAGGCCACCATGATGCGGTGGAGGTCCGGGATGACCGAGATGATCTTGACTTCTATGGACTGGTTCTTGTGGAAGCCAAAGTCGGACTTGGTGTGAGTCTCGGCCGGCAGGCGGGACTTGGGCAGCAGAGCGAGCAGGTGGGCGCCAAACTGGACAAAGACGGCCGTCTGCGTAATGTTCCTGACGAATCCCGAAACAATTGCGCCTACCTTGGCGTCCTCAAAGGTGGTCAGGAGCTTCTTGTTCTTGGAAGCGTCCACGAGGCTGTGCTTTTGCGTCAGGATGATGACCCGGCGCTTGTCGTCCTTCTCAATCACCATGAGCTCCGACAGGGACTGTCCGACGTTGATGCGCTTCATGGCGAACTGGTTCTTGGACATGGACTTGTCGGTCAGGTGTCCGACGGGAAGCATGGCCTTCAGACCACCATCGGCAAGCTCGACGTATACCTGGTCCTCAGTCTTTTGCGTCACCTTGCCATTGACAAGGTCGCCGACCTGTAGCTTCTTGAGGGCTGCCTGCTTGTCAAGGCCAAATGCAGCCGGGTCCTTGCACGAGACCACGAGCCTCCTGAGTTCGGGGTCGACGTCGAGGACGTGGACCGAGACGACCTGGCCGAGGCGGAAGTGCTCGTTCGGGTCACGGATATATGCCTCGCTCATCTCGCCCACGGGGAGGAAGCCCTTGAGGTTGCCGTAGAACTGGATGTGGGCGCCGTTGGACTGTATTTTGATGATGGTTCCGGGAACCTGCATGCCGACGCTCACATCATCGTACGACTTGATAATGGGGGCCTCGGAGTTGACGAGCGTCTTCTTCATCGTCAGCTTCATCCTCCTCTTGGGCGGGTCCGTGGAGAGGACCCTGGCCTTGACTTTCATACCCTCCCTGAACTTCTTCTCAGGGTGCTGAAGATGAACGTCGGCCAGGTGGCGTTCGGTGACAAAGCCGGTGATGCCCTCGGCGACCTTGAGGATGAGACCAGACACACCCTCTCCGTCGATGACGAGCTTCTCCACCTCGCAGTTGACTACTTCGCCAATGGGCACATCCTCAAGACGAATAAAGGGCTGTTCGAGAACAGTCTTCTCAAATGACAGGTGGAAGAGGCCATCCATCTCGTTGTATCCAACAACGCGACCCTGGTGGACCGAGCCCTTCTTGTAAGGTCCACTGCTCTCGAACAGGGCGTCCACCTTTCCGTCCTTGACGCGGGAAATGTGGACGAAGCCGCTCAGGTCGGGGACGCCGATGTCGACAAAGAGACCGATCTCGGTCTCGACATGCTTAACGGTGCACTTCTCGACGAGGGATGAGATGGGCAGGACTTCTGTCGGCGTCTTCTTGCTCTTGTTGGGAAGCTTCCTCCCCAGCGTGGAGATGTGCGGCAGGAGCGAGATACCCAGCTTGGGCTCCTTGGCTGTAGGGAACGTGCAGATGATGCGAGCCTTGACTTTGGTCGCAATCTTGTAGGTGGAATCCAGGTCGACACCGGACGGGCCGACGCCCGAGTGGATCAGGTCGGCCGTGGCATCGACGTGGCCCATGATCTTACCGGCAAGACCGCGCCTGTCGGTGTTGGTCACCAAGATATCGGCACAGGTACCAGGGAGGTACGTGTTGATGGTGGTGGCCTCGGAGGGGACGGCCTTGACGTTGCGCAGGCGCTTGTCGAGAAGGGAGAGCTGAGCGACCTTGCCGCTAGACACCTTTCCAGTGACGGAGCAAAGGAGGACAGCGCCGGTCTGGAGGCGGTCCTCGGCTATGGTGGCCGGGTCGATCTCGCCCTTGGGCAGGAAGGCCCTCACGTTGGGGATACCGATGTCCATGACGCAACCGTGGTCCTCGACACTGATAACTGACGCCATGACGGTGGTGTTGGCAACCAGCTCGTCCATCCCCATCCCAGCGTTGGCTTCTGTGGGACGCATTGAGAGCTCAATCTTGCGCCTTCCCTTGCCAGAGGTGGCGGCTTCGTCCATTGTGGAAACGACGTAGACTCGGACGTACTGTCCAATGGTGAAGAACGAGGCGAGGTCGACATTGGCGTCGTCTGCATCCTCGTCCTCCTCTTCGGTATCGTCGTCGGCAGCGGCGCGCTCCAGCTTCCCGGTAAGCTGCTCCGAGATGGCGACAATGGAGACGTGGCCGATCAGGTTGTTGGGGAGGGTGACTTCGACATCGAGGGGGTTTATACGGGAGATCTGACCGAGGACCAGGGATCCCTTGACGAGCTTCTAGAAGATGGGACAAGGTGTTAGCGGCAATGATATGTGCGATAACTGTGCACGGCAGGAATTGAGGACGGTTTGTACTGTACCTTAAAACTGAGACTCTCCACCTTGACAGAGTCCTCATCGGCTTTCTTCGACCCGGTCGTCTTTGCGCTCTTCGCGGCAGCCTTGGTCTTCTTTTTCTTGGCGCCCTTGGTGGCCGTGTCGAACTCGTCCTCGTGCATGGCGTCTGCCTTGGCGTCGAGCTGAATCTGCCTCTGTTCGAGGGGCGTCAGAACGCTGCCACCTCCTCGGGGAAACATGGGCTCTTCATCCTTGAGGATAGAGACAACCGACTTGGGCTTGTCGGCGGCGGGCTTGGTGGTGGAAGGCTTCGCATCTCTGCTGGAAGATGAGATATCCTTTGTCTTTTTGGCCTTCTTTTCGGGTCTCTCGCCTCCGGGGGCGTCTTTTCTCTTGAGAGTGCTCATAGCGGAAAACAATGCAGGCGTTGGGACGGCTGCTTTGCTTATTGCCCGCCGGAGAGCCTGGTATGTTGTAGTTTAATGCGACAGACTGGCGATGCTGGGCCAAGTTTTTTTTTTTTTTTTTTTTTCCTGGACCCTCTGACGGTACGTCTATAAGAGCGATAAGAAAGTATTATCGTTCGCGATAAGATAATCGGACGATAAGATATATCAGTATTCTTATCTCTCCGGTGGGGTATGGATGTCCCACAGTGGGTTTCCAGCGCATGTCTACGCTGAAGATGCGCTGTAGCCTCAATTCCAGGCACCGGCTGTCTGCTGACATATAAACACCGCTCTCTTACTTCATCTGCACATGCCTGTCAAGTTGTCTGCTCCTTACATCCCAACCATCATGGTCTGTGGTTATTCCTCTATACTCTCTGGCCTATTATCTTGCCCTTTGGTAACTTCATAATGCTTCCGCGGAAGCGACAGCGCCCCAACCCAGAAAACAAAACGCCGTCTGCTGCCACGGGCGACTGTCCAGCCATACCTCGGCCCCAAATCCAACAACCATCGACGTCACCATCGGAGTCGAGCGCGAAAGATAGCAGCCGAGAGCGAATGCCACCGCCCAAACCAGCCCACGCCAGGGCTTCACAGTCCTCCTTCAATCAGGTTGGTTTTCGACCCCACCTGCCTCACGTATGTGTAATGTGGTGTGAGTTGGCCAGGTGCTAATTATGCATGCATGTCCAAGGTCCGCAAGTCCCAAAGCTGGTATAGGTCCTGGCCGAGAATCTCTAAGGCCTCACCATCAACATCCGTCACCCAGGAGAATATATCTGGAGGGACTGTCAGGTCTGGTAGAGCACCTGATCTCAGCCGTTTTGAACACAGCAAAGACGGCGAGACATACAGTACGGCCAGTCGTGGACGGAGCGGATCCAGCGCATCGCGGGGTCCCGAGAACAGAATGCATAAAACCGACGAAGATGGCAAGCCTGCCGAAGAGGATAACAGCACCGCCAACGCCCCAGATCATCATGGGAACGCTGCAGAGGGCGAGGCTCCCGATGCGACAAATAACGATGAGCCACTAGCCGAGTCCAGTACGTCGGCTGCTACACCAGACGCTCATGCTCCTTCGACAGGATGGCTAGGATGGTGGCCCGGGATTCCTACCGTAGGTACGCAACGGGGGTCTGAAACGAAACCAACGTCAGTTGAGAAGGAAGGTTCGGAAGCCGCTCCTCCTCAAACTAGTACACCCGCCGCACAAACAACCCAACCGGATGGCCCCAGCGTCGAGGGGCAGAGGTCAACATCGTGGTTTGGGCTGTGGTCAGCGGCCAACACACCGACACAAAAAAATACAGGCCCTGGCGAGCCCACGCTCGAGGCTGAACAGGCCAACCCGACCAGTGAGGATGTCGCCATGCCCGATGTCGAACAGCCTGCCCAGCAGCAACAACAGCAGCAGCAGCAGCAGAAGCCAGGCCCGGCTCCAAAAGCCGGCTCCACATGGGCTTTCTGGTCAAGAGACTCTCCTAAGGACAAGGGATACGTGTCCCAGGATGAATCAGGCGAAATTGCAATCATGGGCGAGGGCTCCGAGGCGCATCCACAACCCATGACGGAGGGCGAAATGCCGCCGCCGAATGATATCAAGAACAAAAAGGGCGAACAGGGAGGCGGCATGCTAACCTGGAGGAGGACTAACAAGAGAAATCGGCCTCAGTCGATGGACAACGAGGTGCCATCGCCTTTCCCATCCGGGGCTTCAACACCCCAGGCTCAACCTCCTCAACAACAGCCCGCCACCATGCCAGCGCCGGCACAAGCCAAGACTGAGAGCTCAAACAAATCAACGACCGAGTCGGAAACAGCGACAAAGGGACAGAAGAATCTACTGCTCCCTTCCTTCTCTAGTACATACCAGATGAAGCAGAGCCCATCTATTCTCAAGCAGATTTCTCAGCTCGTTCTGAGATCACAGGACCCTCCGGTGAACCACGTATTTCGTCTCAAGGACCCTCCCAAGATCCGGAAGGCCATCTCCATAGGTGTCCATGGACTTTTTCCGGCAACATACCTTCGTCCGATGATTGGGCAGCCGACGGGAACATCGCTGCGGTTTGCCAGCCTAGGTGCCGAGGCCATACGAAGATGGGCGGAGAATCATGGATCTCCGGACTGCGACATTGAAAAAGTGGCACTGGAGGGCGAGGGCAAGATCAACGAGCGGGTGGAAAACCTATGGAAGCTCATGCTCAACTGGACGGAGCACATACGCCAGGCGGACCTGATTCTGTTCTCGTGTCACTCGCAGGGCGTGCCCGTCAGCATCATGCTCCTTGAGAAGCTCATCGACCTGGGCATCGTAACCAAGGCCAAGATTGGCGTCTGTGCCATGGCTGGCGTCTCGTTGGGTCCGTTTCCCGAGTACAAGTCCGGTATACTCATGGGATCGGCGGCGGAACTATGGGACTTTGGCAAACCGGAATCGGCAAATTCACAGCGGTTCGAGGCAGCGCTAAAGCGTGTGCTGAACTACGGCTCGCGCATCACCTTCATAGGAAGTATTGACGACCAGCTGGTGCCTATGGAGGTAAGTCCCAGCCACATAGTCTTGCCCCCCCCCCCTTAACTCTGCTGCTGCGACAGACAGTCCGACTGACTCTAACTCGCACACACAGTCGGCCGTCTACTCACCCGCAAACCATCCTTACATCTACCGGGCCGTCTTCATCGACGGACGCATCCACGCCCCCGATTTCATCTCCCACCTGGTGGGCTTCGCGCTCAAGCTGCGCAACCTAGGCGTCACGGAGCACGGTCTCATCCGTGAACTGTCCGTCCCCTTGGCGGGCTCCCTGTACAGCGGCGATGGCCACTCGCGCCTCTACTACGACGACCAGGTATACGATCTGGCCATCTCGCACGCTCTCGAGACGACGACGGCCCCCGGCCATGGCCAGAAGAGCAAGGAAAACCAGCACCCAGAATGCGAGATCCGCCGCCACGGAGGCGCCGTGCCCAGCGGCCAGCAGGGACCCAACCAGCCGTCGGCGCAGCAGCCCAACCCTTATGTGCTGCCGTGGATCATGCGCGGTCTTCTGGAGGAGGAGTTTGTCAAGACGGAGCTGAGCCAGGAGGCCCAAGAGCTCCTCAGGCAGTTTGACGACTGGAGACCTGCTAACAAGGCGCTCAAGGATGTTAAGTATAGGTTGGAGGCGGTGCGGTCAAAGCTGTAGGGCCCGTTCTTGCTTTTTCCCTTTGCCTTCTTTTTTCTGCTGAGACACATGTAGCGAATGGATTTCTTCTTGTATTATACCATGTTAGATTTAAAGACAGACGTTTCAACTGCGCGAGTCTCCATGATGCTTTCCCCTAAGCACTCGTACGTGCGTGTTGTGCCTCGGGCGACCCTTGCCAAGGGAGCCTTATTCCTCGCTTCGCTCGATGGACAGACATCATTAGTCTTTTTGGCACCGAGTACAAGATAATACAATAGTCCTGCTCACTCTCTAGTGTTCGCTGCCTGATATGGACAATATATCTGTTCTTTTTCATCTCCTTCTCCTCCTTCTGTTCCACAAAGAAAAAAAAGACAAAAAAACTCCCCAAAAGAAAGATGGCATTAAAATCCCCATTTCCTTCCTCGTTCTTGATAGTATTATACACATTTTTTTTTATCTATGACAAATAAAAAAACAAATATAAAGTACAACCTGATCAGGATCGTCCTGACGCTTTCTTGTCAATCATCATCTCCTCCCGAGCATCCACTTGTCGATGCGGTCCTGAATCTTATCCCAGCTCATGGTATGGCTGGTCAGACCGTAGGCCTGCGCCTCCTGGAGGACGACGGTGGGGGCGCCGCTGCCGCGACCTGGGTTGGCGACGGCGCCGCCGACGACGTCGCGGGCCACGCGGCGCAGGTCGTCGACGGAGAGCTGCTCTATGCGGCGGCACATTTCGCGGACCGGCACCTTGCGGCCGTGGACCTGGACGGAGCGGCCCAGGTCCTCGAGCTCGACCATGCGGCTCTCGAGGTTCATCAGCAGGCTCGACCGGAGCTGGTTCTTGGCCCGCTCGACCTCCTGGGGCTGCAGGCGGGCCAGGCCCGTGTCCAGCGTCAGCGCGTGCAGCTGCTGGCACATGATGTCCAGCATGGCCGAGGTGTGGCCGGGTAGGCAGGAGGCCGAGATGCCGAAGAGCCCGGAGTCCGTGTACGAGTGGTTAAAGGCCACGCACGACTCCACGAAGCCGTGCTGGTTGAGCACGTTGGTGTACAGCCGTGAGTACATGCCCTTGCCCGGCCCGCCGGCCGAGAAGGATCCGCCGCCGCCGAGGAGCGTCTGCAGCGTCGCGAGCGCGTAGATGTCGTCCGACGTCACCGGCAGGCCCTCGAAGGCGAGGTGGATGTGCGTGAAGTTGACGTTGTTGAGGGACGGGGGCTGCGGCGGCAGCGCCAGGAACCCGCCCGTGTAGTGCGAGGCTTGCCGGCTCCTCAGCAGCTCCAACGAGGACGAGGAGGGACTGCGGCTCATGTCGCCAAAGTACTGCTCTGCCAGCCTGACGGCCCGGTCGTGCTCCACGCCGGCAAAGGCCATGACGATGCGCTCGGGGCTGTAGAAGGCATCGCGGTACCTCGACACGGTGGCCCTGTCGATCTCGCCCAGGCGCTCCTCCGGGCACAGCAGCGGGTTGCCCAGCGTGTTGTCCCGGAAGGCGGCCGTGTGCACCAGCTCGGGCAGGATGAGCTCGGGCTTGGCCCAGATCTCGGCGATCTCGTAGCGCGCCGTCTCCAGCTGCGCCGCCACCTCTTCGTCCGTGTTGAGCGGGTCCCGTATCGTCTCGGCCAGCAGCGCCGCCGTCGTCGGCACCGACCCGTTGAACGTCGCGGCCTGGTACATCATCGACTCGCGCGACGACGCGCACTGGATGTTGCCCCCGAGCGCCTCCACCGTCTCCAACATCTCGTCCGCGGTCCGCGTCGACGTCGACTTGAAGGCCAGCCGGTCCATGATGTGCGACACGCCCCGGAGGGAGGCGTCCTCGAACCGAGACCCGGCCTCGATGTACACCCCCACCCCCGAGAAGGAGCCCGGGAGGGCCTCGGAGGCTACGCGTAGCCCGTTTGGTAGCGTCGTGATCCGGTCCAGTTCCGTTGGTTCCTATTTCCGGTCAGCTGTGTTCCGTCTCTTTTCGTCTTTTTTCTTCGCCTTTTTTCTTTTCTTTCCCCCCCTCTGTTCTTTTTTCTTTTTTGTTTCTTTTTGTTTCTTCCTTCTTTCTCTCCCCATACTCTCTTCTTCTCCCTCCTTTCAATTCTGATTCTCTCGTCAAAAACCATCTCTTCTGCCTGACGTCACATACCTTGGGAATCCCATCAACAACCACTGTAGACCCGATACTCCTCCTGTGAGTCAGGGTAGACGAGTTGGTCGCCGTCTTCCTGACTAGATTCGAGACGGTTGAGGCCGCCCTCGCCCTCGAGTGCAGCCTTGCACCAAACTGTCTAAGCATGGTAGCTGTATTTCTGTCCGAGGGAGAGGTGTTGTGGGTGTGTATCGGTGGTTGTTGAATTGAGTCGTTGATAATGGGGAGTTGGTGTTTTCGTAGGGGGGGGGGGGGGGGGGGGGGGGGGGTCGGTCAGAAAATTGTATGTTGTTTCTCGGTATTAGCTCGGGTCAATTAGACCACATTGTCAGTATTACCAACCATGAGGTACGTCACGTCCACATATATCACCTGGGAAGGCCACAGATTTGTTTGATGAATACTTGTCATATAAACATTTTTCAGTCGGATACAAGACGAGCTTAGACTAAAACAATGTGTAGAAACTTTGAATTATGACAATTGGAAAAACAATGGCATTATGTGGGGGGAGTACGTCTCCTAAATGCGTAAAACTATACCGGAACAACGCTCTCTACGCAAAATAAAGAAAAAATAAAAATAAAATAATAAAATAAAATAAAAAGACCTTGAACATAAAACAACGACGACGGCGACGGATGACAACAAAGACGAAGACGAATACAAGACAGAGGCAAAGGCCATACAAGAACAAGAGGGGAGACAAGAAAAGAAGAAGAAAGAAAAAAGCAAAGATTAGAACCTCGATGGAGAGGGAACCCATCTGTAACCATCCTCAATGACCCCAATGCTAGGAAATGAAGGGGCAGATACTAAAAGACAAGAAAGATGGGGAAAAGAGAGAGTATAAGAAGAGGAAGAAAGCGGAAGTGAGTGTAGAGGGAGGAGACAACCACAAGGATAGAAAAGAATATAAGCAAATGCAAACCCACCAGCATCCCACCCGCTATCCTTCTATAGGGGCAATTTCGAATAAACAGTCGTTCTCGAGAAGGAGGAAACTTCCAACAACCCAATCTACGCTACACCAAGCATGCCATGGCAGGCAATGCTATTTTTTCTTTCTTTTTCCGTTCCGAGTCGGAGAATCGTGAGATACTCTCGAGACGGAGCGAGCCGAGAACTCCAAGAGAGGCAAGACAGGAGAGCGGCAGACATCACCGCGGTGCATCAGCAGTGACGGTGACGTCGGCGGCAGCATCGAGGCTCATACTGGCATCCTCCCGGTCGCGGCCGTCAAAGACCCACGGTCCCGCCTCGTTACGCGGCGTCATAGGTCCTCGCGATGGGGAGGCGGCTCCGCTGTCGTTCCTGGGCGGGGTGGATGCCCGTCCCGACCCGGTGATGGGCAGGGGTTCCGTGGACGAGTGTGTCAGGTTTCCGGCGCCGTTGACATTGTTGCTGCTGTCCGAGAGGTTCTCGCTGCTGCTGTTGACGTCGTCGTGCGTCGCGTCTATGGCATCTGGGTCGACGGGGAGCGGCGGCAGGGGTGCATCGTTGCGGTTGCCTCCACCGTCACCGGCGCTGGAGACGGCAGCAGCGGCGACGGAAGCGGAAGCAGGGTCGGACGAGGACGATAGCGGAGCGCCGTTGACCGATGACCTGTCACCGTTCTCTCCCTCGGCTTCGAGCCGCTCCCACTCCTCTGCGGTGTCGTCGACGTCGGCTTCCAGGTCGGCACCGGCTCGGCAGTTGGGACAGATGAAGATGGGGTACTGGGGCGAGTTGAGGAGGGAGCGGACACACTTGAAGTGCCACGTGTGGGAGCAGGGTGCGACGAATAGAGATTGGCAGGGCTGTGTTCTTGAGGTCAGCGGGAGGAGGGGGGATTTCAGAGAAGATGAGGAGGGAGAAAGAGTTGGGAGGGGAAAAAGGAACGTACTCCGATAGAGTTGAGACAGATGGAACAGTCCTGTGACGAGGTTGAGGCAGAGCTGGATCCGGCGGGGGCAGCCATCGTCCTCAGACGTTTGTGAGCGGCCATGCTAGAGTGGAAGTTAGTATGCTATATATATATACAATATATACATATGTGTGTGTGTGTGTGTGTGTATGTGTCCCCCTCTTTCGACCGTTGGAGGGGGAGGGGGGGAAGAGAGATGACTGGAAGACTTACTTGAATGTATTGAGCTTATTCTGCCATCCACGGTTCAGCTCGATCCTCATCTTGACGCAGCGAAATATCATCTCCTCTCCGCCCTTGAAGTCGATGCCGAGCTGGACAATGTCTCCGTCGTTGACGGGAAAGGCCTTGCTCTCCTGCGAGGGCGGGCTGAGACGGATGTGGTTCAGGAAGGTGCCGGAAGAGCTCTTGACGTCCCTGATGTACCATTTTCCGTTCTCGTACCAGAACTCGCAGTGACGGCGGGACACCACCTTGCTCTTGAACCCGACGGCCGCGGCCGAGGGCTGGTGGTGGTTGCCGAGGCCGACGCTGGCCGACATGGCGGGCTGGTTGTCGCGTTCCGAGTAGCGTCCCACGCGGATGGTCTCGGTGCCGGTGGGCAGGGTGCGCGACACGGTGGGGAAGGTGAGCGAGGGACGGGTGGATCGCGGGTCGTAGTATGCCGAGAGGCGGATGGACGGGAGGAATTGGGGGGAGGTGGAAGAGGCGGCGGCGGCGGCGGCGGCGGCAGATGTGAAGGCGTCGCCCGTCGTGGACGCCCTGGGTCTCGTCATCGTGGCGGTGGCGACAGTGGCGGCAGTGGCGGCAGCGGTGTCGAGATTGGCGTTGTTGTGGGATGATGACGATGATGACGATGGCGACGGCGACGACGACGAAGATGTTGACGAGGGAAGTGCCTCGTCTTGCTGGTTGGGGTTCGTATCGGTGGGACCTTGGACGACTGTCGTGCCGAGGGTGTGCTGATTATTGCTGTTGTTACTGATGTCGTTGTTGTTATCAGTCTGAGCGTTATCGACACCGCCGTTGTTATTGTTGTTGTCGTTGTCGTCGTCGTTGTCGTTGTTGTCGTTGTTGTTGTTGTTGTTGTTGTTGTTGTTGGTGTTGTTATTGTTGCTGCTGCTGCCAATATTTCGGCGATGAATCTGATGATGATGATGATGATGTGATGGGGATGAAGATGCTGTGGTGGTGGTGATGGGTGGTGGGAGATGGTGAGCAGGGGCGGAGCTGACGAGGGTGAGACGATTGTTGTTGGTCCTGCGGTTGGACGAGGTGATGGGAGGAGCAGGAGACGGTTGGGATTCGGGGCTGGTGCTGCCGCCGCTTCGGTGTGCTGCTGATCGCGGGATGGACGAGGCGATGAATTCGCTGTTGGAGCGTCTCAGACCGCCGGAGAGTCCTGACAGTCCCGACGACAGACCGGACGACAGCCCCGACGACAGACCGGACGACAATCCGGACGACAGACCTCCTGGGAACACTCCTCCTGCGTCTCCGCCGCTTGCGTTGCTGCTGTTGGTGTCGCGGGTGAGGAGTCGTCGCAGGCGGCTTGACCTGGATGAGGGAGGGCTGGTACCGGCCGTGGCTGCGGCGGAAGTTGCTGCTGCCGCTGCTGATAATGCTTCAGGCGGCACGGGCGACGAGAAGCTGGCCGAATGGGTGAATAACATTGGTGTTGCGACTGCTGGAATCATCTGATGAACTTCCTCCCCACTTCTCTTTTACTTTTTGTTTCTCCTCTTAATTTCTTCCCTTCTCTCTCTCTTTTTTTTCTTCTCTTTTCTTCTCCGGCCTGCCTGCCTTCAGTGTATTTTTTTTTTTGGGTTGGGTTGGGGGGGGGGGGACGCTCAAGATAGGGAATGACCCGAGTTGAGTATAGTGGTGGTGGGTGGTGGGTGGTGGTGGTGGTGGTGGTGGTACCAGTAATAAAGATATATATACTCGTATATATATATATATATGATATATATGTTGTATTGAGTGGCGTCGGTCGTGATGGTGGTCTCGTCCAAAGTCAACTCTCTCTCTCTCAGCTCGAGGGATTCGAAGATACGGAAGAAGACGTCCAGCTCGAGAAGAAGGGTTGGGAGAGGAAAGCTGCAATTAGGGATAGGAGAGATGGAGAAATGGAATAATGGATAATGGAATCCTCGGTACTATTGCTCTGCAGTGCCTGTACTCTGCAGTGTGCACCGACCTTGAGAGTGTACAGGTAATAAATTTTTTTCTGTTTTGATTTTTCAGAGAAATCCAAAAAAAAAAAAAAAAAAAAAAAAAGTCATTGAGAAGGAGAAGGGGGGCGGGACTCGTACAGTAAAGTAGTCATGTACCCGAATCTTTGTCTTCCAATCTCATGTACAGATTATACTAGCTCTCTATCCGTACCTCCGGTACATGCACGATACATGTTGACAATACCGACCAAATCCGTGGTCACTGCTCAGTCATCGTAATGACAATCGGACGCCAGGAGTCGAAGAGTCTAGCGTAGGGAGCAGTCGCGGTGCCGATAAATATGCATGACTGAGGCTGTCAGTATTATACGAGTACCTCTTGGTTAGTGCAACCGCGTAAGACCGGCAATGTGCGGTCTGGACCGGGAAAGCATTACGAGCAATCTGGAATCTGTACGATTATTCTCTTGTATTTTTTATTTTCATGTCCTCCTCGTCTCTTCTCCCGGACAGCTCTCGCATCATCGTCACTCGGTATGAATCTGTGACATGCTGCCCGTACATTGTGGCCGATGGACTCTATTCCACCCATCACTCTCTCGTACCTGTCTATTCGTATCATACGTACGAGGAGCAGTCTTCTCTCGTCGTGCCGCGTACCGTGGAGCCGTAATCTGTAATCCGCACAGGATTACGTGTATCATCCATTCGATCCTCTCCCTCACCGTGCCGTGCGTGCATCGCACCGGGTGCGGGTGCCGCGTGAGCACGGGTGACCGGTACGTGCTCCCATCACCACAGGGCACGAGCGCTGTGGACGGCACCTACCTGCCCTACCTACCTGCCCTACCTACCTGCCTACCGACCTGCCTACCTGCCACCATGCACTCCGGTATGGGTAGAGCGCCGCCTGCGAGTGCCAGGCTGCCCAGCCCTAGTCCCCGTGCAGCTGCGCTGGAGAGCCGTCTGAGGCGTGTAGCGGGTACGTGACCGACCGTACATGCGTAGGCTGGAGCCGCTGGGACAGAGCACGCGCCCCTGCCGTCCACGAGGCCAGAGAAGCACCCGACCTGCGCAGCATCGATACTCCGCTACGTGTGTAGAAGATGATGAAGGTTGAGAAACAAACTGAAGAGAAGAAGAAGAAGAAAAGACCGTGAGACGCTGGCACCTGATCTGATCCCTCTCCTCTCTACCTTCTCCTATACCCTCCTCCCTCTCCCCCTTCCGCACACGGGCCACGGGCTAGCACGGCAGCTCCGTCATAAGCCACCGTAGACGGCAGCTGTCAGAGAAGAGCCCGCCGGAGGGGGGGGGGGGGGGGGGGAGAGGACGCTGGCTGGCCTTGATCCAGCCTCTGCATCCCCACGTCACCCTGTGCATTTGCGCTAGAGAGAGCCAGTCTGCCCGTAGCGTACGGGGGTGATAGCTTGTACCCGTAGAGGGTGATGGATCCGTCCCCTGCGTTCGGGGTTTACCATGCCGCAACCAGGTCTGGCTGACTGCTGGGAATATACGTCAATACAGGTAGAGAGGGAGTAGAGGGATTTAAAAAAAGAAGAACGATTTTATTTATTTATTTATTTTTTATTTTATTTTTTAAAAAGAAAGAAGAGAATATTTCGACTGATGCCCCTTGACAGGTAACAATACAGAGAGGATTTGCTGACGATTTGCCCGTGAAACAACCGCGTCGTCATGATGCACCTCCTCCCATCTCTGATCTCTCTCTCTCTCTCTCTCTGCATTTGCCCTAGCATCATGGCAAGTAGCTCTGTGATATACTCTGTAGGCAGTACGGATACGGAGTAATAGTAGGGAGTAGCAGTACAGAGTAACAGTGCAGAGTACAGAGTACAGAGTACAGAGTACAGTAATCTGTGATATCATAATTATCATCATTATTATTAATATTATTGATTTTTTTTATTGATTTTTTTTTTATTACCTCTGTCCTGCACTGAGACATGGTCCGCCCTTCAAATCGTACCACTACGGCGTAGGCTAGACCGGTAACCCTGTATATTAATACGGAGTCACCGTAATGGTTAATGAATGCGCGGGTATCGACTCTCTCTCTCTCTCTCTCTCTCTCTCTCTCTCTCTCTCTCACACTCTCTCTCTCTCTCTCACAC